CTGCAATAACTCATTCTAAATACATAATGCATGGAATTTTCTCCATGGGGAACAGTGATACTTTGAAAAAATTAAATGATGTTATGATGCATCACTGAAAGAGCCCTTTTATGTGTCTTATTTGTACCACACAGAATATTTTAAGTGATTTTAAGCAGATTTTAAGTGAGTTCAAGTTCAGCAGAGTGAAATAAATATTTCTGTATCTTTTAATGTATTATTTATTACTTGTTTCACCATAACTGTTCATAAGCTTAAACTTAACCGAAAACTAACCAATTGAAAACTGAAATTTCCATCAATCTTTTGACAATCTTAACGTGTTAATCCAGTATTTAATGGACCATTATACCCCAAAGTTGAAATATCATTCCTATATCAGAGAACTCTCAAGATTTATTGAGGTGGAATCAACCACTTCTACAATAGTAAGTGATATGCGAAAAACAAAAAATTTCTTTAGTATGATAAATAGTAAATAACTATTAAATATCTTCAAAAGAGCAATTTCACAAAAAAAAAGCCAGAACTGGATAGACGTAAACAATGAACAAAATTAACAATCAATACATTAAAGGTGCAATAGACAAGCTTGCACAAAAGTAGCTTAGCAGTTTTTAGATGGGCAACAAATAGCTACAACTTCTTCCTGCACGCATTCCACACAAATGTGTTTTATGATGCATATCAAGCAAAGGATAGAGTTCGGGTATAACAAACAAAAAGGATAAAGTCAATCCAGAACTGTTAAATCAATGTTTTGGTTGGGTCTACACAGTGGAAAACTACAAAGTACCAGACCTGCAGGGTAAATTTAGGGATTTTTGAATAGAAGGAATATACATGTCCAGATGGTTTCTATCCAAGGCACTACATAAATGGGTAAGCACTGTAGATTTGAGAATAATACTAGAAGATATAAGTAGATAGCATACATTGCACTGTTATTTAAAAAGTGCAGGCTGACCCTCCAGTCATTATTGGTGAACCACTGCATTGTTAGAGGTGCCGTCCTTTGGGAGAGTGGATAAACCAAAATTCCATTGGTCTGTTCAGGTAGACATTAAAGATTCCCAAGACACTGTTCAAAAGGAGAAGGTTACTTCAAGCTTGTAGCCAACAATTTTCTGTATAAGTAGGTCATTCATTTTGTGGCTGTTTGTAGTACTTTAGTGTGTGCACATTGGCAACTGGGTTCACCTACAAATACAGGCAATACGCTTGACAAAATATTATTGTGAAGTAATTTGAGACTTTTCAATATTATTAGTATTATATCAAATCCAAGGATTGTGATATTATAAGAAAGAAAGAAAGAACAGTCTTTATTGTACGCCAGTAAATTTAAAATCAACCATGGCAGAATTGCTGGAACCCATAATCAGAAATGGTTATGTTTATCAAATGTTGTTAAAAGATAAGTAACATTGCTAGTTTCAAATTTTAATCAATAAAAATTGGTATTCAATGGGTTTTCCATTTTTTGTCAATTTGAGGGAAATTAATTTCCATTGTTGAAAACATTTTTAAAAAATATTTCTAATAATTTTGGACTACAAAAATCGTAACTTTCAGATGGAAGGTTGTCATGGATAATAATAATAATAATAATCGTTGCATTTGATATAGCGTTTATCACCTCTTAGAGATATCTCAAAGCACTTCATAGGATATACTGTAAAGTGTAGTGACTGTGTTTTGTGGGCGAAACGTGGCAGCTAATCTCACACAGCAGTGTCCCACAAACAGTCATGGATTGAGTGATCAAATTATAATTATTATAGTGTAATATAATATGGATGTCACTTTCTGCACTCTGCGCATGCATGCACAAATTATCTGTATGTACTTGGTGACCTTTCTGCCCAGAAATCAGCCATTTTTGTAATTGAAAGGAATAAAAGCAAAATAACTATCAATATTATTTTTGAAAATGTAAAAAAAACCCTGAAAAACAGCAATCATGAAGATGGATCATAAAAATGTATGAATGTATAGGACTGGACTATTACTGTTCATCTAACCATTGCCAAAGTTTGAAAACATATATCAACAGTGTTGAATCAATTTGAATATTTTGAGGTGTGAATTTGGTGCATGCAAATTAATAAGAACAATTACGACATTGAAAAGCATCAGGTAATGCAAACTGTGTAGTTTGCATTGAGGATTAAGTTGGCAGAATTACCCTCCCCCTTTTAAGTTGAGAACGATTTAGCTGCTGAGTTTCTATTCAGAAACATTGTGAATGTGCTGTCCATATTGCTTGAAAAGTAAAGGTATGTGTCAGTTTGGCTCAGTGATAGCACTCTCGCCTGAGTCAGAAGGTTGTGGGTGCATGTCAGAACTTGAACTCACATAGTCTAACCTGACACTCTAATGCACTGCTGGGATGTGCTGCATTGCAGGAGGTGCCATCCTTCACATGAGACGTCGCAAACCGAGGTCCTGACTGCCTGTTCAGGTGGAAGTTAAAGGTACCATTTGAAAAGAGAACTGAGTTTCTCTGGACAATAAATCACCCAAATAAAATTGGTCACTCACTCCATGGTTGTTAGTGGGACATTGCTGTGCGCCATTGGCTGCTGCATTTGCCCACTTTAATCCACTTTACAGTATATCCTGTGAAGCACTTTGAGACGTCTCAACGACCTGATAAGGTGATATATCATATGCAATGATTATGATTATTATGAGTTCAAGCCCCACGTTGGAACTAAGGCTTGAACCAGTGCATTGCTGGGGGTCTACAGCATTGTAAGTGATGCCATCCTCTGGTGGGGCATTAAAACAAGGTTCTGTGCCTATTCAGGTGGACTTTAAAGATCCCATGGGATTGTTCAAAAAGAGAAGGGAATTTCTGCTTGTGGAGAGGTCAACAGCCCCAAATAGAATTAGTCATTTACTTTATGGCTGTTTGTGGTTCAGTGCTGTGCACAAATTGGCTGCTGTGTTCACCAACTAATAATAATAATAATGACAAAATACACAGTCACCACACATTGTATGAATTGCTTTGAGACATCCTTCCAAAAGATTATTTTATTTATTATTTTCACTTAAAGAGGAACATTCAAAAACTGAAGGTTCACAAAATTCTCTCTGAAATTAGTATTGCTTACTTGTACTGTATTTTAAAACATGACTCTTGCTATGATCAATGGAATTTTATTCTGAAATGATCCAGGAATACAGAAAACACATGATGGTAATTTCATTGGGTGTATTTAACATATTTTGTTCTTTACAAAAGTAATGGTTCTGGATGATCACTGCACTCACAATACATATATCAAAGTAAGATAATACCTGCTCTGATAATATTACGATTACTATACTGATTGCTTCTGGTTAATGTGTAAATTGTTTCACCAAAAAAATGGAGATGGGAAGAAGAATAACATGATTCAAGTTTTTAAATTGCTAATCATTCTTGCATTTATTATTGTTAAATTGTTGCATAGCTATGAATAATTGTGCATGTAAGGAGGCTATTAAACTTGGAGGTAGAACCAGAAGGCAAATTAAAAAATAAGGTTAGAAAATTCTCCCACCCTAGTTAAAATGATGCATAAAAAAATGCTCTGGCTTGTGTCAATTTTTATCCACAAATCAGGCACCGACAGCATCACAACTGATGGATGCACACTCCACTTCACTGAGCCAGTCTGGAACCTTGGCGTCTTGTTTGACCCTCAACTGTCCTTTTTACCCCACATCCATCCTATGATCCCCTCTGCCTTTCCCAAACCCACAACATCGCCCGCTACGCCACTGCCTCAACCCTCAGCTGCCGAAACACTCATCCACTTATTCTTCACATCTAGGCTCAAGTACTCCAACTTGTCAGCCTTACCAACTCTTCCCTCCACAAGCTGCAGATCACCCAGAACTCTGCAGCTCGTGTTCTCCCCCGTACTAGGCTCCGTGACCCTATCACCCCCACCCTCGCCCAGCTCAACTGGCTCCCCATTCCCCAGAGGACAGAGTTCAAAATCTTTGTCCTCGCCTTCAAAGCCCTCCATGACCTTGCTCCTTCCTACCTCTGTGACCTGCTGACCCCATATTAACCTGCCCGCTCAGCAGACTCTGGTCTGCTCTATGTCCCCCGCCCGGCCCCGCCATCGATAGTCGGGCCTTCAGCCTTTCTGCCCCCAACCATTGGAACGCCATCACATATTCCCTTCCCACATTTCCATGGAGTGCATGCGCATTTTGTGCAGGAAGTGATGGCAGGAGCAATCTGATAATCTGCTTGGCTATTTGTTAGACCAGGAATCTGGATAGTTAGCAACTGGCTAGGGTGAAATAATAAACATAGGGAATCTAATAGATCAGAGTTTTGGTTAGTTCTGGAGGATAGGGAGAAATTGTGTGGAATTTCTACCAGGAAATCAAGATGGATAGAGCCTAGAATGTTGGTTGGGGTCTCTGATGATTGCTGAGCATGCAATATTGCCACTGGGCTGTCCTATTCCTTTGAGCTTTGACTTATAGGGTTGAGAATGTTTGCAACTCAAGTCTCAGCTGTCAACAATGTCTTAGATTATTGTGGATTTACCTGACTTTGTGTGTCTCCCCAGAGCCAGTTCAATCACATTCTTGTTTTCTCTCCTCTCTGCTGATACTGTTTAAGAAATGATCTATTTTATTCACCTCAAGTAGGGGAAGGGAGAATGCACTGGAATTTGTACCCAGAATCTTCTGAGCAAACAGATATGTTTCTATGATCTGTGGAAAAGAGCAGGCTTTATTGGTCAGATGGCTATCTCTTTTTCCTTGCTTTTCTCTGTTCATATATTCCCAAATGTGGTTTGTGGTGTACAGTTTGATATGAATAATAAAATTATACATTACACTGTGTACAATTCCCTTCCGGCAGAAGTACAGTTGTTTTGAATAAACAAAGGAAAAAGGCAAGAATGTTTTTTATCAAAATAAACTAGTTTGTTAACAAAAGTTGAATCTGACTAATGTTTAAATTCTGTTTTATGTTTCAGGGTGAACTGCACAGAACATTTCCATTTGCTTTCTTCAGTAGAGGACTGAATCAGCTGCCAATGCCTTGAGAATAATCTTTCAGTAACAAATACTGATAATATTTTGTCTTCAGTACAGGTTTGAATCTCTTTTTATAGTATTAAAACAACATGAAAATAGATAGCTACCATAATCTGTGAGGTTTATAAGATTTGAATATATGTTTGAAGCCAGTTGATTTTTCACAAGTGAGAATCAAAAATCTTGGCTCAGCATCTTGTTCTCACAAGTTGTTATCTTATTAGTAGTTTGTGTTGTTCTTTGCAGTTTTGAAGTTTCTTTGGAATAGTAGTTTATTTTACTTCAAGTTTGAATTAAACATCACTTTAATAAAGTGGATATATTTCTGGAACATTCAAAATGATGATACAATACCTTTACCAGTCGGTACAGATGTTTTTGTTTTGTGATGTGAAAACCTAAATAAACCCATCAGCAAACAATGAGATGCTCAATGGATATATTGCTAACACTTCTTCAGTAGGAACCCATGGGGTTCAAGGATTATTCTACCCATTCTACAATTCTCTTGAAGGCATTGATTGCTAGTTAAAGTTTCTATGGATAAGCTTTGTAAAGTCTCCAAATACTGCACTTCCACTTGTATCTCATTCAACTTTGTGGAGAATGCATATTCTGTCATGTAATCAATTGAGACATATGAAATGCTAGACGAAAAAAGACCAATGTCCATCTAGTTCCCCTTCCTGGCGATCGCATGCACATATGTCCCGAACTACCTATGTACTATATCCCATAATGTTATTTCCTAAAAAAAAACTATCTAATCTGTGTTTGAAGGTATCAACATTTCCTGCTTCAACCGTCTCCTTAGGGACGGAGCCTGTTCCGCAGGTTTACTATTTGCTCACTGAAATAGTGTTTCCATAGATTTGTTCTGAATTTACCCCTTCAGTCTCAGGTTGTGTCCTCTGGTTTTACTATTCTGAACAGCCTGTCATGATCTATATTGTCTAGCCCTTTTAGAATCTTAAAGACATAAATCACAGCTCTTCTTAATCATCTCTTTTCCAGTGTGAACATGTCTATTTTACTTAGTCGCTCCTCATAGTCCAGTCCCTCCATTTAGCTTAGACAGAATAACTAATTACAATGAATTATCACTGCAACATGTGCTCGTACTTTGTTTTCTGTTGGGATGGAATCACCATGCACTACTGTTGGCTGATTTTGGAATGATTCAGTATCAAAATGGTTTTATTGAGGGCAGCATTAGTCATGTACTTTCCCAACTTGTGACTTGGCTCAACTTCATTGGTGTGTGGGGGATGCTTCTCTTAAATAATGAATTTATTTACCAGTTAGGTTATTTACCAGTTAGGTTATCTTACTTTATTAAGTTGTACTGCTGTTTACTAAGCACTCTGCGTGAAGGTCGCTGTAAAAATGCAAGTTGTTGTTGCTTGGCTTTCTTCCTTGTGAATGGAGTCTGTAATGTGAGTGAACACATTTGAAACCACTTGCAGCATGTGAATCTGCATCAGCAGTCAGGACCCATCAAATAACTTAATAATAATAACTTGTAGAATGGAGCAATAAATAGCAATTTACTTTGGCCTTAGTTTATAAACTTGACTTCCTCCCCCTTTTATAATGTTAAAAGATAATACTGCTGACTTTCTTTGAAATCTATAGATCCTCAGCTGGATATATGCAGGTCCTTCTCAACCTCTAAGCTTAATTGTCTTGCCTTTTAAGTAACATTTGAAAAAGGAACTGTTACTTCATTCAAGTTTTAACACAAATCACTTGCATCAAATCCGGTTAACCTGTTACTTTGTTGTAAACGTTTGTTGTAATTAGTACATTTTGTATCTTGTACTGTTATATTGCTGTTATTGTTTCCTTAGATTTGACAAAACATGGGGAATTCAGAAAGCCAGAATGATAGCGAACGAGCCCTTTCGGGGGATGAACGTGCTGGTCTGGCACGGAAACATATGTCACGATCACTTCGTATTCCTACAAAAACTTCACGGAGAGCCAGGCCGGCTTCTGCGGCCAGAATTGCACATAGAAATTCAGAAACCAGCACTAAATCCAGTAGCACACCTAGCATCCCACAGACATTAGCAGGAGATGGTCTGGATACAGGTAACCCAGGAAACAATATTATTGCTTTGGCAGAAGACTTTACTAATCCCTCTTGGGTAAGTGCAGTTGGTAAAAATGTAAGGCCTGTGTCTTACCATACAGGTTCTTCAACAGTTTTCAGTACCAGAAGGCGGAGTACTGTGGAGCCAGTAAGATCCAGGGATGAATTTGACGCTTGTTTTGAGAAACGTGCTATTCAGAATCTACAGAATTTTGATGAAAGGTTGGACTTAGCTTCCCAAGCAGAAGGTAGAGATTATCATTCAGTTACTAGGAATGGAACAGCTATTTTAGAAAGCACCAAAATCAGGAAAAAGCGATCCAAATCTGCAGACATGTGGAGGCAAGATAGTACGGAATTCTCCTTCTCTGATCTTAGTCAGGAACGGTTGACCAGCAGAGAAGATCTGATCGATAATGAGAAAGGTTATGAAGAAAGGGGATTGGTAAATAGTCATTCCATGGAATTGGAACAGTTGTGTGATAGCAACCGAGCCAATTCTCTAAATGAATTGTATTCGCAAAAACTATCAAGTGGAATCATTAACAAACAGCCGATGAACAAAATTATGACGTATTATCAGAATTTGACAGCACATTCACATAGCACAATGCCATCACAAAATACAAATTCTGTGAGGTCTTCTGTTGGAAATGTCAGTGTATCTTCATATGCTGCCTACACGCTGCCATGCAGGAAATCCCATTGCCTTTCTGAAGGGGCCTCCAAAGGACGATTAAGTGAAATTGATGATCAGAACAGAACCATGCAAGGCAGGAGAGCAAAAACAACACAGGTAATTCATTTATAAATAACAATAATAGTCCTTGCATTTGATATAGTGCTTGATAATAATAATAATCTTTGCATTTGATATGGAGCCTTATCACGTCTTTGAGACGTCTCAAAGCCCTTCACAGTATATACTGCAAAGTTAATTGACAGTATTTTGTGGGTGAAATGTGGCAGCCAATTGCGCACAGCAGTGTCCCACAAACAGTCGTGGATTGAGTGACCAAATTATTATTATTTACTCTTTTTTTTTGAAGGGATTATTACCCCAGGAAAGCGATCTGCCAATCGACTAATAACCAGATTCCTATTTACGGCTAGACAAACAGAGCCCTGTGGAGTAAGGAAACTTGCCCAATGTTTTACCCTGCCTGGAATTGAACCCAAGTCCTCTTTTTTGCGATGCGAGTGCTCCAATCACTACGCTGGAGGACTGCCCAAAATGGGTTTTATTAAGACCGATTAGCATTTTAAATGGTCTTGGTGAATTCTAGAGATGAACTTCACATTTGTTATGAGAAGTGTGCTATTCAAGATCTACAGAATTTGGACGTTGTGCCTAATGTCCATTAATGTGTTTGTTAGCTGGTTTGAGGTTAATATACGTGGATGAGTGATGGAGAATCAACTGAGTGTTACAAATTATGTTTTTTTTCAATCAACCGGACACATATGTTTTGATGATTACAGAGAAGGAATTCTGTTTTGGTCTTTTACTTTTCTGTACGCAAAGGCATTCCACTGAGCAAAAAAACAAAAATTATTAACATTTTACCAGTGCAAGATTAGAAATAAAATTGCATCTTTTGCAGTTTGCAAAACACCAGCTCATCAAGGTTACTTCCTGTTCTGTTCTGATGGGGACCAATACATCTTAGCCAGAACATAATTGGATACATGGCTGATCTAACAAGCACCTATATCGAAATTATTCAAAAAATAATCCAAGGAGATTTCCCCACAAAACAGTAGCCGTTGATGTTTTTTAAAAAAAACTGTTTTGAAGCCAATTCTAAGCATACACTTTGCACTTCACACTAATTGCCTTTAAGTTTACGGGGTTGACAAAATAAAACTCCCACTGTCTTTACTAATCAACAGATCCATAAAAGACCTACACGGAATCTCGACTTGAGTAAAATTAAGCAAATTTAGCAAATATGATCAATGGCACAGACAGAAAGCCAGCATGAATTGCTGGAATTTCCCCCCCCTCATGCCGTCATCAAAACACCTATTCCTGAAGCACCCAAGTCAGAAGGTTGTTGGTTTGAAACCCACATTAGGCTTTGAGCTCGCAGTCTAGACTGACACTCCAATGCAGGGGAAACACTGCAATATCTAATGCTTTGATTAGATGTTAAACCAAGGTCTGTATGTCCAGGTGGATGTTAAATATCCCGCAGTATGCTTTTAAAAGAGAAGGAAGCTTTTCCCAGTATCCTGGCCAACAATCCCCCAAATAAAATCAGTCACTCACTTAATTGACTGTCATAGGGCATCACTATGAGCAAATCAAGACATTTGTTGCATTCTTTGAAATATGCTTTTGACATTTGTTGCATTCTTTGTAATATGCATTAACAAACGCTTGAATTTGCTGACGACACAAAATTGAGCACTTAACAGTCAGTGAAATAATGGCATGGAAAATATTTTAAAAATTTGCAAAGGCAGGTATTGCAGACTTGCCTCAGGTTTATCACAACCCAACCTCAATATTCAAGGCCTAAATCTTTACAATGGTTTTGAGATAATTTTGAGACAATAATTTCAGGATTTTGACCTGCATTGTTTTTGAAACAATAGCCTTTAAAAAAATATCTGAACACAAACAGTTGCAAGTTTAACCTTCAAAATCATATTTGTGTTTTTATTTGTTTCAAAAGTTTATAAATCTCACTGATATATGTTGATTGTATGGAGATCCATGACCTGCTTATGTCTTCCCCAGCAGTTGTAGCAAAAAATGTATAAATTATTTGATTCTACAAGTATCTTGAGAAAAAATAGCTTTCAGTTCCTGTAGATTTGTATACATTTTATACTTAAATTTTGATTAGAATGATTTTTCAGTATACTATGTTTTTATATTTGTTATGGCAGTGTACGGAAGGAAGTCAGCTAGCCAACTATAATTATATATTTTTATACATGTAGGATGTTACCTCAGGAGATGGAAGTGAATATGCAGATAATAGCATTGCTGGTGCAACAACAGAAAATTATCAGCTTTCTCATCATTCCAATAATACCGGTTCAACATGCTCTCCACCATCTTTCAATTGTCGGTACCTCGGTAGTGATGATGCTTCAGCAGGAGATGTGCTCCACCAGGGGGTGTATGAGAACTTCAGAAGTACATTGGAATCAAATGCTGTTAACACAGAGAATCTGGAGGAAGCAGAGTCAGCTTTGAGTGATGAACAAAGCAGTGGCACCCTCAGCTCCCCGGGACAATCAGATATTCAAACAACTGAGCAGGGAACAGTCCGAAAAACCGGCTCACTTGCTGTAAAAAACTTTATAGTTCACAAGAAAAATAAAAAAGTGGAATTGGCTACACGTAGAAAGTGGAAGTATTATTGGGTATCTTTAAAAGGTACTTTTTTCTTATTAAACAATCTTTGAACTCTTACTATAAGAAAGGTACAAAAAGGAAGATCTGAATACATTTTTTTTGTTTTCGTACCTTCAAATGCCTCCAACTGCCTTGTCCCATTCTGCCTCTGGAGCTCTCGTGACCTTACTCCCCAGGCCACCCCCTCTGTTTCTGCCAACTCTGGCCTGCTTCATGCCCTCCACCACTCTGCCCCGGAATTGGTGAAGAGCTTTCAGCCACTTTGCCTGCTGGAACTCTCCATTTCATTCTCCTCATTCAAAATTCATCTTACATCCATCCATCATATATTGAGCAGTACCAAATTACTTTGGGCCCAACCGTTCTAAGTAATGGGGAAAGGGTGCTTTCACCTGACTGCATCAAGCCAATAATTATCAACTGATTTCAACCACCACTTTCAGCGAAGTGATAATGACCACATCATGTTTGTATTATTTATCCCATTGGTGTTTAAAGGTAAAATGTAAGTTTTTTTTTGGTCAGCCGCTTGTCTGACACATGCAGAAATCCATCACCATGCTTAAGAGTATCTGAACCAAACTGAGAGTTCCATGCATCCCACCTATATATGAAAATTCCAGAGATATTTGTTGGAATGAAATCCGTACTGTCCCTGGAGGGACACATCCTGTTTATCTAATTCTGGAAAGTATTAGGCGCAGACTGGCAAGAGCCAAGTCTTGGGAACCTCAAGAACCCTGTTAGAAAGTCAAACCAGCTAAAACAGCATAGCTTACCATTGAGAGCACTGCCTGGCAAGCTTTCCCGCTACTTGTCCAGCTAGGACCACCCTAACTGTTAGGGCTTTGGCTTGCAGGGTTAATGGAAGCTGTGTGGGAAGAGTCTCTGCCACAATTACTCATCTCCCCTTCCAAATCTGCCAGTGACACAGCCTGGCTGTGCTGTCATCAGCAGTGCCCTGGAGTACTGCGAACCAACCTGGCTCAAAAACTGGATTACAGAGACCGCCACAGAGCGTTGGCTCAACTTCAACATTCCGCTGCCAAGCGTACCACCTTGGAGCCAGTTCAGCTCCAAGAGGAACCCCCCCCCCCCACCCGCCCCAAGAGGATAGTTACTAGGCAATAGGATAGTAAGTAGGCAAACCATAAAAAGTAAATGGAATTTAGATTTTATATATAGGGGTACTGAACACCGGACCAAGGAGGTGATGTTAAATCTGTAAGAGACATTAGGCTTGAGTTGGAGCGGAGTCTTAATAGAGCATTTTGTTTATCATAGAATCATAGAATTGTACAGCACAAAAAGAGGCCATTCGGCCCATCGAGTTTGTGCCGGCTCTTTGAATAGAGCAATTAATGTCAATCCCACTCCCCAGCCCTTTCCCCATAACCCTGCAAACCAGTGCTCCTCAAATACCCATCCACCACGTTTTTAAAAGTAGTTATCGAATCGGCCTCGACCACCCTTTCAGGCAATGCGTTCCAGATTCGAACAACTCTACTTTTAGAGAAAGTAGGTACTTCAATTGCTGATTAATTATTTTGCCTAATACATGCTCTGCATTAATCTTAAACTTTTTCTTTATGCAGGCTGCACCTTATTTTTTTATGACGCAGATGGACGATCAGGAGGAGACCAGAACAGTGTACCAAAGCACATGGTTTGGATTGAAAACAGCATTGTTCAAGCTGTACCCGAACATCCAAAGAAAGACTATGTCTTCTGCATTAGTAATTCACTTGGAGATTCATTCTTATTCCAGGTTTGTTCTTTGTAGTTTGTCTTTCAATTATTCGTATTCATTTTTAAGATCATTGCCTCAACATGCTGAAAATGCCTAATGTAGTAAGATCTTTGTTCTCCACAGCTCTTTTAATTTCTCGCTTCCTAACTGCAATGACACACCCCTTGCCTTCTAATTTTTAACTCTGCTGTTTGCTATGGATGCAACAAAGCAACTTGACTCGGGCACTTGTGAAATTGCTCTCCTCTAGGTTCTTGAACATCTGTTAAAGAAACAAGAGAATTTAGCACGAAGATAGAGATGCACAAAATTATTTACCATATAAAATTCCCAAGTTATGTGCAGTTTCAATGCAGTTTACAGGTGGATGCAGACTGGGACTATATTCTCATGCAATATACATTAATGCATTTCCCAGGAGACGTCTTGTACAATCACACATTTTTGTTCCCGAAGAGATCAAACATCTTCTCCAAGATAGACAACTGCTATGGTCTACAGACATTTCCCCAGTTTAACTTTGGACATTGTATAGCCCTTAGCCTAGGAACATAAGAAATGAGAGCTGCGATAGTGCCCTTATGCCCCATGGATCAACTTCACAGAGGACTGTTCCCCTCCACTCATGCTTTCATTGCTTAATGTCGTGGTGTTATAAAACTTGCTGTGTGTTTGATCATTTTTGTATTATCTAATAAGTGGAAATATGTAAATTTTAGAACAATTACAGATCTTCAGAGAAACATTATAAATGCTATTATAGATATATACTATATATACAAGTATATTTACTTTCATACATGTTTTTGTGCATAGCTTTGACCTTGTCCTTACAATTGGTTTTCTCTTTAAAATCCTGCACAATATTTGTGCATTCTCCGACATGCTTACTCCCCACTCTACTTCCCACCACCTCCACTCAGCTGACTCGGTCCTCCTTGTTCCTCGTCCTCTCTGCTCCACCATCGGCGGTCGTGCTTTCAGCTACTATGCCCCGAAACTTTGGAACTCTCCTCCTCAATCCCTCCATCTTGTCCACTCCTTCTCCATTTTCAGATCGCGATTGAAGACCTTCATTTTCGACCATGCCTACGGTCACTTCCCCCCATCCCCGCACTGTTAAGCGCTCCGAGACACTACCCCATGTTGCTGTTGGTGTCTGCCCAGGTGTGATAATAATTACACCTGACGATATTATACTATTGGAGCTTGAAAAGCTGCCTGTGAATACCTGACCTTCTTCTGTAGTTTTACCTGCCTTTTTGCAATCAAGGTTAAAAATAAAATAATAATAATTAATGCATTTTTAATATAGTTCCTTTAACATCGAAAGCTCTTCACGGGATTTACTTGAAAGTGTGACTGTATCTTGTAGGGAAATGCAGTTGCTCACTTGCCCACAGTAATGTCCCACAAAGAGCCAAGGAAGTTAACAACCAATTTTACCTGGGAAATTGTTGGCCGGGATACTGGAAGAAATTACCTTCTCTTTTCAAGTAGTGCTGTGGGATTTTAGTGTCTGTAATAAACAGGCAGATGGGATTTTGGTTTAACGTCTCATATGAATGATGGCACCTCCAACAATGCAACACTCCTCCAAGTGCTGCAATGGAGTGTCAGCCTATGTGAGGACAAAGTCCCAATTTGTGGCTTGAACCCACAACTTTCTGACCCAGATGTAAGATTGCTACCAACTGAGCCTGGCTGACACCTGCATGGGTCAACATGAAACAAGTGTAATGTTGTTGATTACATGGTTGGTTTCTTTCAACTAACTTTTTTTTAATGTCCAAGTAGACCTGCAGCCAGACTGAACTGGAAAACTGGATTACTGCCATTCATTCTGCCTGTGCAGCTGCAGTGGCAAGGCAGCATCGCAGAGAAGATACTGTTAAACTGTTGCAGTCAGAGGTTAAAAAACTGGAACAGAAAATTGACATGGATGAAAAGATGAAGAAGATGGGGGATATGCAATTGTCTTCAGTTAATGATCCAAGAAAACGAAAGACCATACTCAGTCAGGTGATAGTTTTTTGGCATTACAATTTTCTTTAAATTCTACTAACTAGCATTCTTTTTATTTATTTCAGTTATGACATGGGTATGACATGTTTTGCTACAATGAAAACAAAGAATGCCTGTAGAAAACCTTTACGAATTTATTAGGCATCTATGTATTTGTAGCATCTTTTGCTGAGTTACATTTTTATTATTTTGCCATTCACACCAGTTGCTTTATAAGCTAGTTCAGAGATGTGAGAAATAAGCAATGCAGTAGGTTGTGTAACTCTTTATCTTTCTTTATCGGGAACTACCAAATTTGTTTTTAACTGGTAACATTTTTAAGTGGTATGTATGAATATCGTGCAACTTCAGTTTCTCTTGCTAGATTTTTCACACCACAGGATTTATGAAGTATTTTCTTACAAAAACAAGAACACTGGGCTCCAGAAATGGAGCACTCTCATTCAACTCAGGGGCCTTTGTAGTTACAGCAATCCAGACATTTAACATGTAATTGTGGTTGCAGCTGCAAGACAACACAAATTATAATTGTAAACTCAAGGGGCTGAAAATCAATAAATCCTGTGAACCAGATGCACCATACCCCAGGGTATTTAGAGACACGAGAAAGAAGAATAGTAAAGCACTGGTTACAATTTTGAGGGCGCTGATCAACCCTGGGGAGACTTCTAATAATCCTTGCATTTGATATAGCGCTTTTCACGTCTTCTCGACGTCTCAAAGCGCTTCACAGAATAGACTGTAAAGTGAATTGACCGTATATTTGTGGGCGAAACGCGACAACCAATTGCGCACAGCAGTGTCCCACAAACAGTCATATATTGAAAATGACCAATTTATTATTGTTTTGTTTTGGAGGGATTATTATTAGGCGTGTGGAGTAAGGAAACTTGCCCAAAGTTTCGCCCTGCCTGGGATTGAACCCAGGTGTCTCGCTTGCAAGGCGAGTGCTCTAATCACTGAGCTACAGGACTCCAGGTTGTGTGTTCAAGCCACATATCCAGACTTTGAGCTCATAGCTTAGCCAATACATTTAGCTCATAGAGGCCCTAGGGGGAGAGCTGCATTGTCAGAGGTGTGTCCTTCAGATGCGATACTGAAGCATGATTTATTCAACCTAATGAATACTTTAAGATCCCTTGACAATCCTCGAAAACAGAAATAGAGTTTCAGATAAAAAACCTCACATGAAAGATTGGGTATTTACTTTATGACCATGTTTTGGACATTGCTTTACACAAGATTGACTGCATCTATTGCCCTCAAATACAGATTCACCTCTCTTTAAGGAAAAATGCTGTGAAGGACTTGGAGAAGTTTCAATGTGATCAGGTGCTACATAAAATGCAAAGATTAGCACTAAACAGGGCAATCTGAAAGGAGATGTTTTCAGCAGTATGTCAGTATAGTTGGTGTAGTTTCCTACCAATAAATTTGGGCTCTACTGAAAATGTTCTTTAAATTCAACAAAATTCAAGGACCAATTTTAATATTAGCAACTGGATCACCATTGGATCTTCAATAACAGTAAACATTTATCACCCAGTATCACCTAAAACACAGGATTCTCTTCAGTAGCAACTAATACAATTATGAACAGGAAATCCTGGATTGTATCTCTTCGGAAAGTTCTTGTTCCTGCATTTAAATTAGTTAGATTTGATGAGCTGTTTTGATACAGTAATTCAGAATTACCAGTGCTGGAGCCTTCCAGCCTACACAAGTATTTGCGCCTTAAATCTTGACTTCTGCACTGGTGTTGACTGAATGCTGCTGTTAGCAATTTGCTCCCATAAGGTTAATATATGCATACACAGTAATTATAGTATTAAACTCTTATACAATGAGTCTAGGTACAGTATATACCAACAGATCAATTATTTAATTGGTCAATTCTACAGAAAATATTATATTACACTGAGCAAAAGTATAATCTTGTGGTCAAAGCAAATTAATTACTTGACGTGGCAGCTATGTCTGATTTTTCTGATTACTTATTTTGACTTGCTTAGTACAGTAATATGTGGAGTCCAATCTTGATTTATAGAATATTGATCGATGTATCAAAAGTGTCTCTTTATTTTGAATTTTTGCTCATAATACTCACCTAATCTAATTCTTACCTAGACATTTTCTTAATACAACGATGCTGGAATTGGCATTTAAGAGGTCTGATTTTTCTTCTGTATTATTTTCAGAATTTACAATAAATTGTTTTTTAAAACAAAAATGTTGATTTGAAAATAAAAGTCCCAAATTGATTGTAATAAGGAATTAAGATGCTGCTTAGTACATCAAGGTTATCAGTGTATTCATTGTAATTCATTCCATGCAATTTAATATTTCTTCTCATTTGGAAAAATCTGTTGTTAAAACTAAAATTTGTATGCTATACTGAAATTAAATGTAATCTGGGTAAAATATGCATTAGAATCATAGTATCATAGAATTATACAGCACAGAAGGAGGCCATTCGGCCCATCATATTCATGCTGGCTCTTTGAAATAGCTGTCCAAATTACTCAAACTCCCCTGCTTTCTACCCATAGCCCTGCAAATTTGACCTCCCAAATATCTACCTACTTCTCTCTTAAAAGTTGTTATTGAATCGCTTTCCACCACCCTTTCACGCAATGTATTCCAGATCGGAACAACGCGCTGTGTGAAAACGTTTCTCCTCACCTCCCCTTTGGTTCTTTTGGCAACTATTTGAAATCTGTGCCCTCTTGTTATCGACCCACCTGCCATTGGAAACCGTTTCTCCCAGATCATGCTATTGAATTCCCTCATAATTTTGAACATCTCTATTAAATCTCCCCTTAACCTTCTCTTCTCCAAGGAGCATAATCCTAGCTTCTCTAGTTTCTCTTCATAACTGAAGCCCCTCATTCTTGGTACCATCCTGGAAAATCTCCAATGCCTTGACATGCTTCCTAAAGTGTGGTGCCCAGAACTGAACACAGTACTCTAGCTGAGGCTGTGGTGCCAAGAACTGAACACAGTAACCAATTTTAGGCTGGAGTATTATTAATGAATTTTATATGCACATTATTTACATAATCTTAAGATTAATGAACTCTCCTTGGGCAAGGTTCCTTACTCCACATGCCTGATAATAATCCCTCAAGAAAAAAATTATAATAATTTGGTCACTCAATCCACGACTGTTTGTGGGACACTGCTGTGCGCAATTGGCTACCGCGTTTCGCCCATAAAATATAGTCAATTCACTTTACAGTATATTCTGTGAAGTGCTTTGAGACGTCTAGAAGCCGTGAAAAGCGCCAAATCAAATGCAAGGATTATTATTATTATTATTTACTGAAAAATGTTGTTCTTGTGATACTAAAGTTTTATAGGGATCTAATTTGTGGTATTTCTTAAATTCCTGTAGAGTTACAGGAAATCATTTTCAGATGTAGATTCTATTGGACAAGATGTCCGTGGGCATCTCATTTATGTGACCCAGGGTTCTTATTAAGAAAGGTTACAAATTAGACCCAGGATTCACAAAACATATTAAAATATCTTTGCATAGTTTCAATATTGATACTGAATGTATTCTTCGCTATTTTTCTCCAATTTAATAGATCTCTTTATGGGAGCAAAATCTCGAACAATTTCAGATTGATCTTTTCCGATATCGTTGCTATATTGCAAGTCTTCAAGGAGGAGAATTACCAAATCCTAAACGACTTCTTGCATTTGCTAGTCGGCCAACTAAACATGCGATGGGTCGACTTGGTATTTTCTCAGTTTCTTCGTTTCATGCCCTGGTGAGTTGTTTTGATTTAGGTTCCACTTTCAACTTGCATTTATATAGCACCCTCCACACAGGGTAGTGTCTCAGAGAGTTTGAAAGAAACATTTTTTACTATAAATTATAGTATCATCTTAATATTATACTTATAAAATTGTAAAGTACACATTCAATGACTGCAGACATAGAATTTCTCCGTTATTATCCTTTTCAATATTTTCCCTTTAGACATGCACCTATGCAATTTATATCATTAATTATTGCAGTATAAGTATACTCACATACTTCATCCAAACATTTAATAATAAATAAGATTATTAGTTAACGTTTCACAAGTCCCCAGCTGTTTCTTACTGGTTGCTGAAAGTATAAAACTAAAAGAAAAGGCCTATAAAACTGCCAAAAAGAGTAGCAAACCTGAGGACTGGGAGTGTTTTAAAGACCAACAAAGGAAAACCAAAAAGCTCATTAAGAGTGAGAAAATGGATTATGAGGGTAAGCTGGCTAGGAACATTAAGACAGATTGTAAGAGTTTTTATAAATACATTAAGAGGAATAGGCTAGCAAAAGTAAATGTGGGTCCATTACAGGCAGAGACAGGAGGAATTATAATGGGGAATAAGGATATGGCAGAGTCCCTGAATAAATACTTTGCTTCTGTCTTCAACTTAGAAGACACAAGAAGTTTGCCATAAATAGAGATGAACCAAGGGGCTAATGATAGGGAGTAACTTAGAGAAATTTGCATTAGCAAAGAATTGGTGCTGGGGAAATTGTTGGCATTAAAAAGTGACGAGTCCCCTGTACCTGATGGTCTGCAACCTAGGGTTTTAAAAGAGGTAGCTCATGAGATAGTGGAGGCCTTGTGTCTGATCTTCCAAAACTCTTTGGATTCTGGAACAGTTCCCATTGATTGGAGGATCGCAAACGTCACACCACTATTTAAGAAGGGTAGGAGAGAAAAGATGGGGAAAAGACTAACTATAGACCAGTTAGTCTGACATCGGTGGTAGGAAAAATTCTGGAATCCTTAATTTAGGATGTCGTAATGGGATACTTAGAGGATCACAATATGATTAGACAGAGTCAACATGGCTTTACAAAAGGGAAGTCATGCTTAACAAATCTTTTAGATTTTTTTTGAGGACATATCAAGTAGATTAGATCAGTGGATGTAGTGTATTTAGATTTCCAAAAGGCATTCGATAAGGTGCCATATAAAAAGTTGATCCACAAGATTAGGGCCCATGGAATTAATGGGAATATATTAGCATGGATTGAAGAATGGCTAACGGGAAGAAAACAAAGAGTAGGGATAAATGGGTCCTTCTCAGATTGGCGGGATGTGACTAGTGGAGTGCCACAAGGATCAGTGCTTGGGCCTCAACTATTTACAATTTTCAGCGCCTTGGGACGTCCTCCCGACATGAAAGGTGCTCTATAAATGAAATCTTGTTGTTGTTGTTGTTGTACATCAACGATATAGATGAGGACATCAAACTTAATGTGTCCAAATTCGCGGATGACAATAAACTAGGAGGGAGAGTAAAAACCGAGGATGACATTAAAAAAATGCAACGAGATATAGATAGGCTAGGTGAGTGGGCAAATAGGTGGTAGATGAAGTATAATGTAGGGAAGTGTGAGGTCATCCACCTTGGTGGCAAAAACAGTAGAGCAGATTATTTTTTAGAAGGGGAGAAGCTAGATAGTGTTAGCATTCAGAGGGACTTGGGTGTCCTTGGACACCAGTCACAAAAAGTTAGTTTGCAGGTACAGCAAGCAATTAGGAAGGCTAACAGTATGTTGGCGTTTGTTACAAAAGAGTTAGAATATAAGAGTAGGGAAGTCTTGCTGCAACTGTATAGGGCCCTGGTGAGACCGCACCTAGAGTACTGTGTGCAGTTTTGGTCTCGTTATTTAAGAAAGGATGTATTCGCCTTGGAAGGGGTGCAACGTAGATTCACTAGGTTGGTACCAGGGATGAGGGGGATGAGTTATAAGGATAAGTTGAGCAATTTAGGCCTATATTCTCTAGAATATAGAAGAATGAGAGGTGATCGATTGTTAAGGGGCATGACAGAATAGATAGTGGGAGACTTTTTCCCCTGGTTGGAGAAACTATAACCAGGGGTCACAGTCTTAAAATTAGGGGTAAGCCCTTTCGCACTGAGTTGAGGAACAACTTCTTCACTCAGAGTAGTGAATTTATGGAATTCTCTACCTCAAAGGGCTGTGGATACTCACTCCTTGAACATATTCAAGACTGAGATTGATAGATTTCTTGTGGATAAAGGGATTAAGGGATATAGGAAGAAGGCGGGTAGGTGGAGTTAGAATAGATCAGCCATGATCTTATTGAATGGTGGGTCAGGCTAGAGGGGCCGAATGGCCTACTCCTGCTCCTAATTCTTATGTTCTTATGCTGTCATCTTGATCTTTTAATTTATTTTATTTAATTGAGAGTGAACATGTAAGTGTATGAATTCAATCAGCTTTAAAAATAACACTGAAAATGTACATAATGTAGATTAAAATTCTATATTAAAATGGATGGAAAATCTAGAGAGATGCTTTCTGTTGAAATTAAAATTAAGGGGAACATGTGATTTGAAATAATCAGTGATCTACCAAACTATGAAAAAAAACTTGCTACAGTCTATGTACTTGTAAGTCCTGTTAATCCTGGACTTTCAATCAGATTCACTCCCAGCATTAGCAGGTTTCCACAATCCTCGACACTCAATGAGATTTCAGCAACAGTAATTTATATTTAAAATATTAAACTCATCAGAGAACCACAGACGTAATGTTAGTTGAAACATATTCTCCCTAAACCTTTCTTTTCCATAATGTCACCATAAGAGTCAACCTGAGTAGGCAAACAAAAACGAAGGTCATACTGACCCTGCAAAGAAAATCTTGATTTATTGTTCTAAAGAGCATATATGTGTTGTGGAATTACAATTTCATGGAATGAGAAGATACTGCTCTGCTTTTCCATTTTTTTCCAGAAGAAGACCCTAGATTTTATCTCAAACATTGACTAGTTTAGACCATCTTGAATATGTAATTTATTTCAAACATCACTGGAATGTATTACATACTTAGTAACTGAAGGCAATCAACCCTTTTTGTTTTTTGGTGATGTTACCCTAAAGAACAGTTGAAATATGCAAGCAACTTTAATAGTAGACTTTATTATAAATGCAGGATACTTCTTATTCAGTTATATTCTTTAGAAAAGTGGATGGATACTGCCATTTACAGAGATTTTTCAATTTAAAAATGATTTTTTTCCTTATTATGTGACTGGCTGTAAAGGTGAACCCATCCCTGCCTTTATAACTATATATGGAGCTGAAGCAAGCCCAAGTATTTGTTGAAGGCTCCAGTGGCTATCATTGTTAATGCTGCTTCATGAGATAGTGATGATTAAAAATAACTTCTTATTGGTGTGAACTGATGCCCTCGGAAACAATTTGCTTCCCCCAATAGTTAACTATTTTATAGTTATTTCTTTAAGAAATATTTGCTGTTTTTATTCCAAGGATGAAAGAATGTTCATTTTGTAGCAACTTTCCCTATCAAAACATCTCAGAGCATTTCACAAGAAATTGCTGTCCAGTTTTTGTTGATGTGCCATTTTGCATATAGCAGAAGATTCTAGAAATGTTTGGAATGATAATTATTTTATAGATGCTGTAAAAAAATTTATTATAACTGAAAAGTGAAAAAAGATGGCACATTTTGTTTTCCCATGTTACTTGAGGTATAAGAATATGGCAAACAAAACCAGGAAGGTCATGCTGACCCTGCAAAGAAAATTTTGATTTGTTGTTCTGAAGAGCATATGTGTTTTGTGGAATTACATTTTGTATATAGCAGAAGATTCTAGAATTGTGTGGAATGATAATTATTTTTTAGATGCAGTACAAAATTAATTATAACTGAAAAATTAAAAAATGTGGCTTATTTTGTTTTCCCATGTTACTTGGGGTATAGGAATATGCATAGCAAAACAGCTAGTTAAAGAATCATAATCAATATGCATTAATACTAGTGCCTCAAGATGTGTGTAATATTTTTTAGGTGGCAGTCCGTACTAAAATTGGTCTGAAAAATCCATCTCAGGTAATTTCTAGATCGGTAAGCAAGAGGAGGAACAGATTTTCTTCTTTGTGGGGATTGGATACAACGTCAAGAAAGAAAGCAAAAGAAAGACCTAGCATTAATCAGGTTAGATTTCTATCATTGTATTTATATTGGTGTAAAGGAAAAAGAGTTTTAATGCCTTTACGAAAGGTGCTATATATGACTTGCACATGGCATTCCTTCCTCTCACCAATCCCCTCAAGCATTTTATCATAGAAGGGACTTCCAATACGTCAACATAGAGGTAACAGTACAATTTACAGTACAACTGTATTGTATGTTATTGATACCTGACTCAAGCCATAATGCCTTCATGAACAAAGAATTACTGGTTGCAATGCAGGTATGAGGGAAATAATTCATGGGATGGTGGAATCCTGGGAGACCATGGTTGCTGGTCTACATTAGCAGGAACTTGGTTCACGGTGTGGAATGGCATTATAACATGATCATTTAAGTAGAGGTGGAAGACAATCAGCTGTTTGAACATATCAGGTGAACCATTGTAATATAACCCAGAAAAGAATGTGAAGCTTACATTTGTTTGCTGTATATTGCACAATATTACTGTTTAATTTTTAATGTGTACCATTATATGATGGAATTGTTTTTTTCACATTTATTTATCTGTGAACGGATTGTCACCTACCATTTCTTATAAATGCGTTTCATATATCTGTATTTAGTGAAATTAGATGAAGTTTAATTTTAAATTGCAGTATTGGTCTAGATCAGGGTGGTCGAACTGACGGCCCAATTTGATCTGCCCACCCCCCCACCTGAATTTATCTGCACCCCCCACCTATCCGGCCCACCTGTTCCCCCCATAACCCGTAGATGTTATATTTCTGGAGGGAAACACAAAAATATTGCTTATGTGGACCGCAAACATTTCTTAAATAGGGCATCCAGCCTTCAGCAGCCAAAAGGTTGGACCACCCTGATCTAGATTGTAGTTGGGTCAACAAATTCAAGAGGGAATTAGATTTAGTGCATCCCTGTTATAATAAATTTCTTTATAATCCCGATTTGATTTTTGCACGTTGGTGTGTATACCTCTTTATTTTACATGTTCACAGCCAGCTTGTTTGCTTCCCATACACCAGGCAGCTCATGCACTAAAATGGTTAATTTTCAAATCATCAGGTTGCCTCTGGCATTCGTAATCTGTGTACATGTGCAGTGAATAGGAAGTGACATCGTCTGACACATGATGATCTGGGTTTAGGCCTGTTTAGCCACCCTCACACTAAAAATGGCCAACTTCCGTATCATCAGGTTGCTACTCATGTCACTTCTTGCTTTGTGTATGCACAGCCAACAGGAAGTAATGTCATGCGACAATCTGATGTGACAACCCAGAAATTGGCGTTTTTTAAGGAGGAATCAAGCTAATCAGCTGTGCACACACTCAGTGAAACTGGCTGTTGTGGCCTCCTTATAAGGCACGTTGGAATTTTATGGACTGCAATGACCTTCTTCTAACAAGGCTCCACTGTAACTAATTGTTGAAGGGTATGAGTGATAGAGTGCCTTCTTTTTAACTTTGCTGGGTCATAATCATCTTTTGTAGTCCTTTAGATTCCTGTAAATAACAATCATTGGTGTGACATTTCAGATTGAAATCCCCAGTTGTACTGAATGTGGCGATTTTTATGATTTTTAAAAAATGTATTCGCTAGTTAAAGAACTCCAGTGGCTGTCAAAGCTGAATCCATAACAGCATTTAAAAAGGAATTGGATAAATACTGAAGAAAAATAATAAAGGGTAAGGTACTGGAATAAGAATAGGTAGTTCCAGTGTGTGGGGAGAAGGGAAGCTAGCAACAACAGAAACAAACATGGTGGGTTGAATGGACACTTTTTACATTGTAAACATTTTAAATTAAGGAGAATCAAACAGCAAAAGAGAAGAAAAGAAACAAATTAATCCTAATTTAATGATTTACATTTTCTATAAACTTTTACATCTTTATGATATTTTTCTAGGTCTTTGATGATAATGAAGCTACACTGAAGAAATCTTTGGAAGGCATCTTTGATGAATGTTCAGTAGATCGTAGTGTAAGTGTTTGTTGAATGTGTTTGCTTCACTAAAGAGATGGAATTATTTATAGATGCCTTAAATGCGTTGCTTTGGCACTGCAGTTTGCATTCTCACAAGTACTTTCAAATGTATTAGGAGAACAAGAGGACATAGATTTAGAGTTGCAAAGGGCAATTTCAGGCCAGGCGGCAGGAAGTATTTCTTTATCCAGATGGTAATTAATGACTGGAACGGGTTGTCAGAAAGGATGATCGATGCAAAATTCACTACTCTTTAAAAGCGTGCATAAATTGCTTTTTTTTAATTAAAAAAAATTACAGTTGAATAATTCAACCAGGATAATTTTAAAATCAGGTAGTATAACAGCAAACATGCATAAACCAACGAAGAGCAGTTTATATTTTTTTCACCACAGAACAAGTATATCAACACACCGTTTATTGCAATAACACTACTGTACATCCAGCTATCTTAAGCAGAATACAATTGCTGTTTATGTTATGGCAAAGGGGTGCTGAGCTTTCAGTGAAGAGTGTTTAATTATAATTAGTACTATATAATTAGTGAAGAAACTTTTGTAAGCATTGACCCATTATCTCGATAAAGAACAGTACTTGGCTAGTGACCACAGATATTAATATTGGTCCAGCATAGTTACTAATAATATATATAAGCTCACAAGTACTGATTGTGGCCAGTAGTATGAGAATAATATATATAGAAATAATGAAGCAGTGATTATCAATGTTATACTAAATGTAATAATGACCACAATTATGGATGATGTACACAATGCAATGTTTTTAAAGAAATAACTACTAATTATGCAGTTCACCTTTGTAAGCCTCCCTAAAAAAGGAGAAATTAAAGCTAGTACACCAAATAGTACGGTTCTAGACACTTTTTATAGATGAAGCATATAATAGTAAACCAATATTTTTCCTATAAAATGAGCAAAACATCCAGGTAAGAGACATTTTGCCATGTATCCAATATTATGTATTATTTGTGCATTGTCTACTCAATTGAGTGCTTTGCCACTGCATATTAATTTAACTTAATCTTACATTATCTTCGTGGTTTATGGGAGAGTGGATGTTGAAGGTCTCCTGTATATTAGGAATAGGATCTTAAAGGGATTGCTCTCTGTAGCTATAAATCATGTAAATAGAGGTTCTCCTGTAATCATTGCAGATTGTACTTTGTACTTTATTATTCGAAGCAGTCTCGTTAATTGTAGCACATGCATACTTCTGAGCACATTTACAGCCATTTACATGATCATATTTGTGTTGTCACTTTGTTTTTAGGCCTTGCTGCATAGATGTTTTGAATACCAGCTGAGAATATGTTAGCGTAGTAATGATTTACTATGTAATAGTACCTATGGTAATAATAATAATAATCCTTGCATTTGATATAGTGCAGTCATGATAGTGGAACTGAGTGTCCTTTTTGGCTTGCACTGATGTTAAAGAAGAATTTTTTTTGCAGCAATCTAATATGTGTTATTTCTTCATGTTTAGTTTTTATTAATAAAGTGAAAAAATGTAGGTTGGCAGTAAAATGTACCTCAATAGCACAAACCAACCCCCGCAATGTTTCCAAATCCCCCCGCAATTTTCGGCAAATATTTCCACATTCTTCTATTGGCCCAGCTCATAGGTGAGAGTGTTCATAGGCCAGGCTGACACTATGTCTGTAGAATTTTTTAATTCAAGAATTGTGTGGAAAAAGTTTCTTATATTGACTTAACTGTTACAAAGAAAAAAAAAGATGGGTATCGTTTCTATCTACTTTGTCCTATAGAGAGAAAAAAATCTGACCACCAGTATTCAACAACAAACATCTGACAGTGACAGCTGGGTTACTGATTTCCTTGTGCCCTCATGGGTTTCTTTACCACATGATCAACCCCTTTTAGTGGCAATACATCCAGGAGACTCTGCGCAGGAAATTCTTGAAACGGCATGTAAGGTATGTTAAACATTGATGTTCCTTATTGTTTCAACGCCTTGATGAAGTTTAAGATCTACTAGTTTAAGGTTTATTATAGAAAAAGTAAGGGATCCTGACAGTCTTTAAAATGTTTAACTCTCAGGACTTTCTTGTAGGATTAGAATTTTTTTGTTCTTTGAACTGAAGCATATGACCTAATCTCGCAATAAGTATCAATTAGTTTTATTTGGCAGTCGATTCTCCCTATTTCTTTACACAAGCAAGAGGTAATTAAGGAAGAGGACTAATATTGCTTTTACATTACATTTCTTGAGGGCTTCAAAGTCCCAAACGCTGAGTGGCATGGTATTTCTGACTTGGAGGTTTATTTTATAGCGTCTCCTTGCCAAATAATAGCAGACCAATCATGAACAAAGATTGCTCCCAGACAGCACCAAGGACCTCCTCTGACTTGAGTGCAGCTTCACTGAAGTTGTACCTGAGATCAGCATCTGAGTGAAGTTTCAAAGGGTCGTCTTAAACTTAAACTGCAGAATTCACTATTTAGAATTCTTTCTTCAGCTCAACGTGCAAAAAACCGAGGCCCTCCTGATTGGCTCACGTCAGCGCCTCCGCACCTCAGGCGCTGACACCATCAGCATCCAAGGCTGCACTCTCCACCTCTCAAGCCAGTCAGGAACCTCGGCGTTTTGTTCGACCCTGAGCTGTCCTTTCTCCCTCACATCCGCACCACAACTGGCACCGCCTTCCATCACCTCCGGAATATCGCCAGATTACGGCACTACTCACCCCTCACGCTGCTGAAACCCTGGTTCACGCCTTTGTCACCTCAAGGCTGGACTATGGGAACTCTCTCCTCGCCGGCTTTCCCGCCACCTCCCTCCACAAGCTGCAGGTCATTCAGAACTCTGCAGCTCGTGTACTGTCCCGCACCAGGCTTCGGGACCACATCACTCCCACCTCGCTCGCCTCCACTGGCTCCCCATCCCCAGAGGATTGATTTCAAGATCCTCATCCTCACCTACAAGGCCATTCACGGCCTTGCTCCCTCCTACCTCTCCAACCTACTATCCCCCTACCTACCTGCCCGTACCCTCCGTTCCTCTGGCTCCGGTCTGCTCCACGTCCCCGCCCCAACCGCCCTACTATCGGTGGTCGGGCCTTCAGCCTCTCAGCCCCGAGGCTCTGGAACTCCATCCCCAGTGCCTTCGCCTTGCTTCCTCCCTTTCCTCCTTCAAGGCCGGTCTCAAAACCTTTCTCTTTGACCGTGCCTTCAGCTCCCCTCTCGACTCTCTTCCTCCTCCTCGCTCCCTCCCTTCCCTCCCCTCACCCTGACCATTTCCCCCTCCTCTCTCCCTCCCTTCCCTCCCCTCACCCTGACCATTTCCCCCCTGCTCGGGTCATGACCCAACTGTGCAGCGCCTTGGGACGTCCTCCTGACGTGAAAGGCGCTCTATAAATGGAATCTTGTTGTTGTTGTTGTTGTTGTTTTTGTGGATTATTGCTGATAATCGTTGTTATCCTTTGTGATCTATTTGTTGCTAATACTATGCTAATATGTGCAGAAGAGCATGATATATCAGTTATTGTATTAGGATGACACAGTATGGTTCTCATTTATTTAAATTATTTTTATTCATTTTGTTTCTTAATGTGATCCATATTTATAATTTTGATGGTGTTAAAATCAATAGAATGTGATCAATCGATTTTTATTTTGTGATGAAATTGAGGGTAAATGCCCAATGTTACTCATTCTGTGGTATTATTTATCTAAAACAATGAAAATCTTGCTTTGGAGTTCCACAAATAGGTTACTGCTATTAGGTGGTGAATCACGTTTTGCATCACTATATGTTTGTTGGTCAGAGTCCAAAATACTTATTGGGGCAAATGTTACAGTAATTGGTTCCTATAATTTGTGTGAATCATCAAAATTTAGACAAATTGTAAATATAGCTAAGGCATGGATTATATCATTTGTTACAATATTTTCTGTATGTACACACGCATGTGCAAATTTTGTGATTAAGTACCAATGACTAAATATTGCAAGAATGAATGGTGCTTGTTGTGAATTAGCTTGTATTTTTCTATATTTTGACATCCTGTAATCTGTGCTTTCTTTCCTCTGTCTTTCACATCAGCTCATGCACTTTTACCCTTTTGTTTGATCTTCTCACTTCAGTTCACAATGTGAGTTAAGAATCTGGAGCATTCTGGTATAGTAGTCTTTTTCTAGGTGATTGATTTAGATATCAAGTAGTTAGTTGTATCATTACAGGCTTTTAAGAGTCAGCCATTGCCATTCTAGGTACGGTTAATATCATTAACCAGGTCGATAACATCTTCCAAATGTACATTATTTTATCATTTATAGAGTTAAAATTACTACAGAAGTACTTGCATAATGTTTGTGAATTTTATTTCATTTTCACACAATTGTTATAGTAATTTCAAAAGCCTGTAATGAACATTAACATGGTCACCATTCAGTTCCAGTAGACACACTAAAATGTATTTTTATTGAATATTTTTCATACTCCTGTTTTGCCACTAACCTTTTCAGCTTGGCTCAGTGGCTAGCATTCTCATGTCTGGATCAAAACAGAAGGTTTGTGGTTTCAAACTTGACATTTGTCCTTGAACTTATAGACTGGACTGAAACACCAATACGTTACTGGGAGGATGCTGTATTGCTGCTTTTCATTTGGATGAGATGTTAAATTGGGGTCTTGTCTACCTGTTCAGGTGGAATTTAAAGATCCCATAACCATTTGAAAAGAGAATGAAATTTCTCCCGACATCCTGGCCAGCAGTCCTCCAGATTAATTGGTCATACACTTTATAGTAGTTTGTGGGATTTTGATGGTGCAAATAACTGAACCGTTTACCAACATAAATTACCTATGAAGCACTTTGAGATGTTATGACACCATATGGTTCCATTTTTAAAAAAAAGTTATTTTAAGTCAAATTGTTTTTATTTTTTAACCCTTTAACCATTTATAGAATATGCTTATGGTTTGTTTGAAGATAACTCATTTTCTAGAGCACATCTTTAATAGAAAACTTTAATAGTAATGTGAAATATCAACTATTTCACCTCAAACGTGTGTATTAACCACCCCATTTCTGAATCAATTAAGCTTTAAGTTATTATATACTATTACTACACGCTCTTTAAGACTGTTTTTAAATTATTATTGTGATGACATTCAGGATACTTTCTTGTGTAATTGTGTACCAATTTAAATTTCTTTATATGAAACTTCCTCTTTCTTAATAGCCCCTAAAAGTCTGAATCATCCTTAATTAAGAGCACCTAGACGTTACCCTGCATGAAGGGTGCTATATAAATGCAAGTTGTTGTTGATTGTCACATTTCTTTGAAATCTTTACAATGTACCTATAACCTTGAGGAGGTAGTGTAAATAAAACTGCACACCATTGTTTCAGGAAGGTGGCCTCACCTGTGATTTGTACTGTGTCCTGTAGCTCAGTGGCTAGAGCACTCACCTCACAAGCAAGCGACCTGGGTTAGATTCCCGGCAGGGCGAAACCTTGGGCAAGTTTCCTTACTCCACACGCCTGATAATAATCCTTCAAAAAAAACAATAATAAAATTCATCACTTCAATTCACGACTGTTTGTGGGACACTGCTGTGCGCAAATAGCTGCCGCATTTCGCCCGCAAATATACAGTCAATTCACTTTAAAGTCTATTCTGTGAAGCTCTTTGAGACACCTAGAAGGCGTGAAAAATCGCTATATCAAATGCAAGGATTATCATTAATGTCAGAATAACTTTTAATGATTTAATCAAGTGCTTCTCAGCATTTGATTTGGCATGTTGACAATTACTTCACAGTAACTCGATCATTTCAAGGAATAGTTAAGGATCATACTTGACTTATTTTTGCTTTTCATCTTTGCTATCAATCGCCCCATTATTCCTTACACGTATTCCATGTTTCACTTTACAATATGTGCCACCTTAAATTTTCTCGAAACTACTGTAATGTTGCACTAAAATCATTAGCCACTCATGCACCTGTTCGTAGCGCGTGCACATCGTATCCAGCAGTGGAATGCTTGCCCAATGTGTGTTTGAACAAATAGTGAGATTTCCTTAAGTTTCTTTATTTAGGTACAGGGTCAGGGAGAAAAAGTCAGATAGACAAGGAGAGGATGAGATAGAAGAAAGAGAGGTTATAAGGAAGGAGTAGAGAGACAAATTGAATCTTACCTGAAAAGAAATTTAGTACAGTATTTTGCATGACGTCCAGATAACTGCATTACTACTGCACTGAGTACTGAAGTGGCAGTTTGACATTGCCTGGATCTCTCACACTGTGCTTTTCAGCATCACTTGAAAAGCTGGAAAAAAATTGCTGTAGGCTGTACTGAGTATTACATAATTTGCCAAATGAGTGAAGTGTTAACTTTACTGCTGATGTTCAGTGGCACCATGAACTTACAGAATGATTAGAAGTTATATGCTGGCTTGATCCTGGCAGGGGGACAGCTCTGCTTGTGAACCTGGACTGTCCTACTATTAGGGCTTTGGTTTGGGAATTAGTAATCGCTGACTGAGAAGAATCCCTGCTCCCAGTATTTGGTCGGCCTCTCCCATGTGCTGTCAAAAAGTCAGGCTGACTGGTCTATAATGATTGGTGTCCTGAGTACTGCTGATCTGCCTAGATCAAGAACAGGACAACTGCGACCGCTACAGTGGATTGACTTGATTTTGACAATCCATTACCAAGTACGTCACTTTAGAGCAGAGCAAAATAGGTGACAGCAATCAGCTCAGCTCCCAGGAAACCTCACTTACCGCCCTTCCCCAGGAGAATTAGATAACATTCTGTAAAACGTTAGCATTGCCAGAAATACACAGCAGATTGAAAGGATAAGATCATGTATTAACATTTCAAGTGAGATTCCTCATTAGAACTCCTGATAGAATAGTCTTACGCAAAGTATTAACCTATCATTCTCTTTTGATTGCTAATACTGTGTATTTCTGTTTTATATTATTTCTTTCAGGTTTCTTGCCTTTGCATATTTTTTAATCTATTGAAAATTTTATTCTATTTTCAGTGAATATTTCTATCAGAAACTATAATTATACTTTCTGTTCTGGAAATATAATGCCAGCATGTATGTTAGTTAGTAATATGTCCCGCAAACACCTTTAGAAACCCAGCAATAAATGGAAATATGATTGCTTTTACGTTTTAGTTTTTGCATCATCTGTTTGCACATTATTAAATCCTAGCGAAATAGGTGAGAGCAATCTGAAACTGAGTGCTTTTGAGCACTTTGAGACATCCTCCGACATAAAGGAGTTACATAAATGCAAATGTATATTGTAACTATTTTAGACATCAGAAAAAAATGGAAACATAGCAAATGTAGCTGGCGACTGCATGGAAGCTAATGTAAATCAACAGACTAAAACAGAATCTTGCACTTTTGTTTATGAGCACTATTTGTTCTGAACCTGCCACAGGTTTATTCTAAGTTTGTTGTGATTCATTTTCATGTAAACTGTTCTTTAACTGAGTTATATTCAGATGTTAAGTTTCATTGTTACATTTTTTAAATTTAGTTATAAGCGCATGTAGGTAAACTTTTAAGAAATTAAAATATTTTATATGGATGACAGTCAACTTTACAAAATAAGTTTTCAGATGTTTGGTTATTAATAGAATTTTAGATAAGAAAGAATACAAATTGTTCTCAGAAATGTTATTGCTGTGAAGAGCTACTGTAGAAGCTATAATTTACCTCATGCTTATTTAACTCACAAATTTAATATGCTAACAAGTGCTTTCTGAATCCCAATTAAGATTCTGAAAGGGCTACATAATTATGATGGGTGGGGATGGTTCTTCCTGGTGCTGGTGTTCTCATGCTTTGTGTACTGTAGGATTTTGGCTCATAGAACAGGGCTATCGTGCACTGGTTGCCAGCAGTAGAAATATTTTCATTGAAGGCTTCAACATAAATATCTCCACAGCTAACAAACAGACCACTTAAAAAAAATGCATAAAGAGAGAGTTTAAAAAAGTCTTAAGTTATTATGAATCATAATTGTAGAAATGACAGCACAGGTGTTGGCCACGAGTATAAACTAGTGCTGGTTCACTCATTGGTGCTAACTATTCCATTCTAATCCAAAAACCCTAGTCTTTACATTCATTCTATGTTACATTTTGCACAAAATAACTAAATGATTCTAGGTGAAGTAATGTAATCTTTCTCCCCTGATTTTCAAATTCTACTAAAAAAAATTATAATTTTATTTCACTTTTTTTCTAAGCTGTCAGGGAAACTAATCTTCATATTTATCTGCGTTTGTCTATTGCTCCTGTTTTTTGTTTTTTCTAGGCACAAAATTTGGAGCCAGGTGATTACTATGTGCGTTTGAAGTTTACAGTGGACAACCATGTGCAATACTATATACCAAAGCAGGACATTATTCATGAGTTGGTAGGTAGACTGAATCTATGTGTATGAAAGTATATAAAATTTAACACTATTATTGTTATTCAACTATGATAACCTTGCCACTGTGGGTTTATTAATCACAGTTCTAAGGTAAGTAAGTTTACCAAACAGCAGAAGTACGCAGCCTGGAAACCTCTTGAAAGCAACTTTTTAATAGTCTCAGATTTTGAACTAAGAAAGGTCACACAAGTAACCATGAGATGAAAGAGCAATTAATCTGAAGAAGTACTGGCCAAAACATAAGTTTGAATGTTAGCATTGGATCTTTAACAATCACCGCAACAGGCAGAACGGATATTGGTTTAATATCTAATCTACAAGATACAACCACTGAGGATACACTGCTTTCCCCAATACAGCACTTGAATGTCAGCCTAATTTATGAACTCAAGTCCTGTTGTGGGCTTGAACCCCAAACCTTCTAAACCAGAGGGAACAGTGCTCTCAACTGAAGTAAACTGAAGCCCATTGAGCTAATTTAATGTAATAAACAAATTTAGAGGAGCCTAGCTATTTTAATCCACCACATTTTCACATGTTGCTGAGCAGTTTTAGTTACACATCTGAATACAGGAAACAAATTGCAGATGGAGAGGCACAAAACTATCTGAGAGAAACGAGTGGTATTTCTAATGCAGTATTAAGATTCATAGTGAAAAGTGAATATCAAATAATTTTAATTATTAGGTGTTAGGAACATGCTAATATAATGCAAATGTAACACTTCATATTCACTGACAAATACTTAAAATTGTTAGTTGTTTCTATAGATGGATACATTATCTGATGCCATGGGTTTTGCACAATTTTGAAATTAACAAAGATATTTTGTTTTCTCAGTTGTTCCAAGAAATTGAAATTTGTCCCAAAATTATTCGTCATGTTCAGTTTGATAAGTCTGATGCTTCTATTAATTATGGTAAGGAATATGTAAAACATTAAATGTATTTATTGCTGTATATGACTAATCTGTTGAAGAAGAATTGTAATTGTATGCTTTATATCAATTATAAATCACTGTCAAGCCACTCACTGTACTTTTTCTTATTTTCACTACAGTGACTAGTGGCATAAATATAATCAAAATCAATCTTAAGGTCAGGTTTGATCTGAGATTGATTTATAAAAGTACATTATTGCACATGATACAGTTTACAATACGCAAGTGAGCAGGGATTTGAACCATTGAAAGCCACATAGATCAAAACATAAACAACTTGCATTTATATAGTGCTGTTCATGCAGGTAGCGTCTTGGAGTGATTAACAGTGGTGTGGCTGTTAACACCAACAAAAAAGCTTTATTTCACTGGAATCGAATTCTGAAAAACTCTCGAGAGGACCTGGGTTCGATTCCCGGGCAGGGCGAAACGTTGGACAAGTTTCCTTACTCCACATGCCTCTGTTTACCTAGCAGTAAGTAGGAACCTGGTTGTTAGTTGAGTGGCAGATAGCATTTCTGGGGGTAAATAATCCCTTTTTTTAAAAAAAATATAGTCACTCAATCTACGACTGTTTGTGGGACACTGCTGTGTTCAAATGGCTGCCGCGTTTCGCCCACAAAATATAATTCACTTGAGAGTATATTCTGAAAAGCGCTTTGAGACATCTCGAATACATGTTGAGGCGCTATATCAAATTCAAGGATTATTATTATTAGAATCCTTAAAACCTCTGTTAGTTTAATCATGAGCCTTTTCAGCTCCCGTGAAAAAGCTCTATTCAAAAGCTCTTAACTTCATAATTCTCTCTTTATAACTGAAACCCCTGATCCTTGGTGATATTCTAGCGCATCTACACTACACTTTTTCCATTATCATCAATTATAATATGGGATGTTTATAGGACTAATGAAGTGACATAATAGGATTTTAATTTTTAAACAATTGTAGCTAGAATTCACACTGGTGCCATGGATGACACCGCTTCAGTACATTTAGAAGAGAAAAGGAGGGGTGAACATTAAATATTGGGGAGCAAACAAAACATTCAATTTAATTTTCAAGTATCAGAGGTAGTTGAATTAGCTGAGATTTGGACTTGGGACTGCAAGATTCTGGATCTGAAACCCGTAGGTTGTCAAAATTATTATCATGTTTTCAAAAATTCCTCCGTGGGGGACCAGGATTGATCTGGCTTTGAGCAGCCACACCCGGCAGAAGTTAGCTAGGTATGTACTAACCCATGGCAGGCATGGAGTTATGGACATGTATAGGCATGTGTGTAACTTTGCAGTCAAAGCCCTGATGGCCTGAGCTGGACAAATACTCTGTTGCAGCTATCCAACATATTTTAAAACTGACTTTTCATAAAATTAAAGTAACCAGCAATCTGTCATCTTAAGTTGGCAAATAAAAAAAGATATTTATATTTGTATGTATAAAATATTGCATGCAGTCGTTATGGTTTGGGAGAGGATAATGATAGTTGCACTGTAACTGAAAACATTTTTACATCTTTGTAAACCTGTCTCTGACAATGGCACTTATTTCTTCTCATCTAGTTTGGAACTATGTTCCTAAAAATGATTTGGAGAACATGTGCTAAATCATATGCTTTAGTATTTTGTTAGTAATCCCTACCATGTTAAGTGTATATTATTTCTTATAAAATATGTATTCTTATAAAGTATTTGTTTAATCTGTAGTAGTTATTTTTTGAATCATTTTAATTGTAAAATTGTCCTTGCTGCTGCTGTTGTAATGTCCCACATATTTTAAAAAGAAGGGAAAGCAATCAGTTTTCTCATTTTAAAATATTGAGTTGTTTTTCAGACCATTTTAACATTTTTGCCAATGTTTTAATTTTGCATGGTCTTTATATCCTTTTGCTCTACTTAGGATTTTGTGTGTCTTTAGTTGAAGAGGAGGACTCACGTCATCGAATGCTTATAACAGATGTGAAAGAAGAGGGTCTAGCTTTCTGTAAAGGTAATATTGTTCTCATTGCATATCACTAATAATCCTTGCATTTTATACAGTATGTTGTCAGTATCGCAATGTACTTCATAGGGAAGTGCTGCAAAATGTAGTGACTATGTATTTTTCGGTAATCATGGAAAACAATGTGCAGACAACAATGTTCCTCAAACAGCCATGAAGTGAATTAGCAATTTATCCGATGCCTTGTTGATCAGGGCATTGGAAGAAACTCCCATCCATTTTTCAAATTGTGTCAAAGAGAATCTAATCTAAGAAAGGAAGAGGAATAAGCACTGAAATAGACTAGTACAGAACTTTATTAGAACATTCTTTCAAAACTACTTGCTTTATTTACAAGTTCTTCATTATCTGTGGCAGGCAGGAGGGCGTGGGGGTAAATTGGAAAGAGCCAGATGGATCTTTTACTGCACATTCTTGTATTCATTTTTCATTTATATCCAATAAACTTTGCAATAATACTTACCTCAGTACTGCAACTTGCCCTTGCTGCAATTTGTTATTCACAGTGACGCTTGCATGCCATGCCAATTTGTGTTCATTTTTTGAGGTATTGAACATGCTTTAGATGATCAATTAAATCTTTTGATGAGTTCAGAGCAGAACTTAGGCATCTTCCAAAACTCCAGTTTAGATTCTACTGTTTTTATTAACATTTTAGCAACCAGATTTATTTGTTGCCAGTTTAACCCTTACAGGGCAGCAACTAAACATAGTCACCAGTATTGATCTTTAAAGTTGCAAATGCAAGAAGCTGTTCATTTCAATGAACATTAAGGTTAGGCTCTTTTCCATAGGAAAATTGGTGATTGATTTTTCTCGGCTGCTGTTTTTGCACTCAAATATTGACTGAGACCTTAGGAATAGCTTACTTCCTGTTTGCAAGGATGGTAATATTGCATCAGGGAGATGGTTAAAAGAAATCCACAAGAACATTTATTGTAATTTCTGGAAGACCAAAACATTTTAAAAATAAACTAAACTTGTGGAAGATGAGTGCTACCTATTAAACCTGTACTTTCTTAATACTTATATTTTCTATTTTACATTTTTTAGGTCTGAAAACAGATGATGAAGTTTTAGAGATTAATAAACAGAAAGCTGAAGATCTGAATATATCTGACTTGAAGCTAATGCTATCTGAGTCTTCACTTTCTCTCACAATACGGACATATTGTGAACTAGCAGATGGTCCGTTCTGTGCTTCTCCTCCAAGGCGAGTCAGAGTATCAGATGAGTTGGTTGATGGTGGGTTTGTTCACCATCAAAGTAGACATGGTAAGTGGTATTTTTCAAACATTCTTTATTGAGGTCAGGATTTTTCAGCAGCAGTGATATAATTAGAGTTCTTTGATGTTAATAGAATTAAGAAATTGCCAGGAAGATAATTTGTATCACTTGCCTTAGGGAACTTCCAAAAAATACTCAGGTAATTGCATAACCTTTTTTTGCCATCATTATTCTTTGTTAAAATTATTAAGTATGACTATCTGAATTTGTGTCAGAAATTCAAAAGAGAATTGGATAGTTATTTCACAAAGAATTCAATTGAAGGGGTATAAGACAGATAAGTGTAGGATTGTTTATTTGTAAAAAAAAAACTTGATTGTGAGCCACATGGATCACACATTCTTTTCCAGTCTGTGCATTCCCGTGTTTGTACGTGCAGGACAACACACAGTACTGTCCACCTAAGTCGGATCCACTATTTAGAGCTTTCACTTACAGCAGCGAGGACATGCCTATCTCTCCAAGTCTCAATTAAAAGCCAAACAGTGCTTTGACTAATGTCAAGCATATTTCCCCAGGTCCAGTTCAACCCTCGGAGTTTGAGCTACAATCTAGGCAGATAGTTCAGTGCAGTATTGTGGGAGTCCAACATTATCTTCATTCTTTTTTTAAAACGTTAAACCCATCTCCATCTGCCTGTTCAGATGGATGTTAAATATTCCATGACACTATTCAAAAAGGGAGAGAGGTGGCTCATCTTACGATTGTAGGATGGATGTTTGCCTACAAAATGAGTTACTAAACATGGGAGTAATTACCTGTGAAATTCTTTTGAGATATTTTGATGTAATATGGAGTTAAAAATCCTCCACTCCCTCCCTCTTTTTCTCTCTCTCACTCCAATGCCTTCGGAGGATAGTTTGTTAAATGGTTTACAACAACAACAACAAGATTACATTTGTATAGCCCCTTTGACGTTGGGAGGACGTCCCAAGGCGCTGGACAGTGTACAGCATTTCAGACCCGAGCTGGGGTCAGGGAGTCTGATCCATGCACAAAAGAGGACAATCACAGTATGAAGAACAATAGATATTAAAGTTAAATTGTTTTGAGTTGGAATGCACAAATGTTGGCATGTTTAGCATTAATATTAGGCCAAATATGTTGTCACCTTGGCAGCCAAAAACAGAACTGCTAACTATTCTAATAATAATAATAACTATTCTAATAATAATAATAATAATTCTCTTTTGTACTTCCACCGTTGGTCTAATTTCTTCTACCCTTGGAAAGCACACACAACCATGGTGAGGCAGCTCAGCAACAGTGTATTCAAAAGCAACAAGATTAATTTAAGAGAAGGTGGAATAAAGAGAGAAAAGAAAATTATAATCATGGTGCAAGGGAACCATGTTCAGAAACAGCAAACCTATTAATATTAAGTGCAAAACCGTCCCACTATTGCTCTCATTGACTGTGATACTTAATGCCTTTCAAAATAATTATAGGGATCTTGAAGTAACCTTGCAGCTGCTGTCGATGTCCTTTTACATTTTCAGAATTATTTAAAATAAAGATAACTGATATGCCCTAATTGAGTTCAAAATGGTAATCCTGTCATCCTAAACCTATCCTATTATCATTTCATATGAACTTTGCATCTTTTGGTGAAATGGACCTGGAAACATAATAGCTTGTCTCTAGGGTAGGAATAATTACATCATATTATTGAAGCATTTGATATTTCTATTGAGAATTGTTACATTCCTCTAATCGAATAATTAAAAATTGGATTACCTACACATAGTTTTAAGAAAGAGTGTGCTTCCTTTTTATCATTTTTAATATTTATGTATTTCAACTTTTAAGAGTTATTTATGAATTGTTTCTCTCAATGGTTCATTATACTTTTCTAATTTCTGGGCAGAAAAAAACATAAAGAACCATATGGAACCTAGCCATTGTGAAGCAAAATTCACTGCATCACTTGAAACTGATGAAGCACGCAAAGTAAGTCAATAACAACAACAACTTGCACTTATATAGTGCCCTCAACGCTTGGTAGCGTCTCAGAGCACTTAACAGTGGCAGAGCCTAACTCCAAGCCAGGGGGAGGGGAGAGGTGGCCATAAGCACGGTCGAACAGGAAAGTCTTCAGGCGGGACTTGAAAGAGGGGAGAAAGGGAACAAGGCAGTGGGATTGAGGGAGATTGTTCCAGAGTTTTGGGTTGTAGTGACTGAAAGCACGACCTCCGATGGTGGGGCGGAGGGTGCGAGGGACGAGCAGGGGGCCAGTGCCAGTCGAGCGGAGGCGCCGGGTGATGGATTGGGGAGTGAGGAGTTTGAGGAGGTAGGGAGGTGCTTGGGAGTGAATGGATTTGAACACAAGAGTGAGGATCTTGAAGTTGATCCATTCGGTGATGGAGAGCCAGAGGAGCCTGGCCAGAACTGGTGAGATGTGGAGTATTATTATTATTATTAAGTCAATATATATTGCTGTATTAGCATCGTTGTGAAAGCCCATGCAAATCATATAGTGAAATGCTGATTAATAACTTATCTTTTTTGTTCCTTTAATCTATTTGTTCTTGCTATACCTTTGCATCTTTTGTAAGAATTCTTATTCAACAGTAGATTCTTCTCATGATTTTGGAATTTTAGCATCATGACAAATAAATAGGCATGTGTTTCAATGGAAACCAATTCTTCTGTATTGTAAATAGAATTAGAGAACTATAGACATTTACAGTACAGAAGAAGGCCATTTCGCCCATCGTCTCTGAGGTGGCTCTTTTAATAGCCATCTTTTCAGTCCCATTTACTTGCCCTTTCCTCATCCCTCTGTAGTTTACTCCTTTTTAGGTATTTATCTAGTTCTGTTTATTGTAGGGGAAAAAAAATATTTCAGAAGTAAGAGTGCCTAGTATCAATCCAGATCTGACTATTAGTACAAACAGGGTTTGAGAAACAGTTTTCTTTATTTTTATTATTTCTCTGCTGTATAACATTTATATCTTCAGACCTGGAAAAGACCATTGCAGTCTATCCAGCTCATCCCAAAGTTTTTTAAAAAAACACATTAAATACTGTCTCTCCTACCTTTCAACAGATTTCTTCACCAAATAGCTAATTGTTCTTGAATTTGTTCGTGCCTTCTGCCTCCATAATAAATAAGAATAATCCCTACATTTGGTATAACTTCTTTCACACTGGAAGGATAATAATAGTAATCCTTGCATTCGATATAGCACCTCATTATGTCACTGAGACATCTAAAAGCACTTCACAGGACATACTGTTAAATGGATAGACTGTATTTTGTGGGGAAAATGCAGCAGCCAGTCGCACACAGCAATGTCCCACAAACAGCCATGGATTATCAAATGCAAAGATTATTATTATTATTGTGTGACCAATTTTATTTGGGGGATTTATTGGCCAGGACAGCGGAAAATACTCCCTTCTCTTTTCAAATAGTGCCATGGAATCTTTAACGCCCACCTGAACAAGTAGATGGGACCTCGGTTTAACGTCTCATCCAAGAGTTAACACCCCCCAGCACTGCATTGGAGTGTCATCTTAGACTATGTGATTCCAAGTCCAGACTTGAGACTTGAACCCCGCAGCCTTCTGACTCAGAGGCGAGAGTGCTACCAAACTGAGCCTTTGCTCTACCATTACTAACTAGGAGTGTTTCAAAGTGCCTCAAGGGATGTACTATAAAGACTTTGTATTTTGTCAGTGAAGGTGGAGCCAGTTTGCACACGGCAGTCTCACAGACAGCAGCACAAAATATTGCTGGTTTTAGCAGTACATTTTTAGTAATATCTATAATAAATTATACTCCCAATTCACACCTTATATGATACTAGTACCCGTTGCAGCTACACTTGCAACCAGTTACATTTAATCGGCCTCTCTTTCGAGTGGCATTTTTATTTGTCCTTGAAAGGCTTCTTAGGTATCTTTATCCCTTAAGATCAAGAAAATGTGCTATTGAACTCATTAGCATTCCTTGTTCACATATTTGCACACACATCATTTTGGGAGGACTCCTGTGGGAGGATTTCTGTTGGTATTGCTACATCAGATATTTTGTCTTTCGTAGTATAGATGTATCCCTCTAGAAGGGTGTGTGACCTCTGTTGCTACTTTGTTGCAGAATATCATCCATACGTTTTTGGGGGCTTAATTAAAGGAGTCCTGTAGCTCAGTGGTTAGAGCACTCGCCTTGCAAGCGAGACACCTGGGTTCAATTCCAGGCAGAGCGAAACCTTGGGCAAGTTTCCTTACTCCACACGTCCAATAATAATTCCTCCGAAACAAAAAACAATAATAAATTGGTCATTTTCACGACTGTTTGTGGGATACTGCTGTGCGCAATTGGTTGTCGAGTTTCGCCCACAAATATACAGTCAATTCACTTTACAGCATATTCTGTGAAACGCTTTGAAACGTCTAGAAGATATGAAAAGCGCTATATCAAATGCAAGGATTATTATTATTAAAGTATTTTGTAACATATTTGTTAATATAGCTCATCAACAATAGGAGATTCCCCTCCAAATATGCCCATGACATTCCTCCATGCAAGATCTTTCCGATGAGGTATAAATCATGTCTCTACGTCAATTGGTTCTTGACAGACAGACACACAGGCAGACATTTTGTCTTTATTAGTATAGATTTACTGTGGACATGTGTGGGAAAATTAAAGAATCTTCAAAGTGTGTTTGCTTTAAATGCTTCTTTTTCTTCAAATGTGTTAATATTTCAACAGCGGAGGCATCATAGAAGCAAAATCCTGCATTTTGTCAATAATAATCATTGCCATAGTACAATAAATGGTATGAATTTTAAAAATTGACATTAGAATAGTTATTCATTTGTTAGCTGTTCTTTCACAATTTTCACAATAAATGCATTTTAATAAATAATTTTTAAAAAATCAAGGCCTTCAAATCAGGTCATTTGTATTGCAAAAGTCTGGCACTACAATTTGCCTCATGTACAGGTGACCTGTAATCTTGAATACTGAGAAGACACAAAAGAGGAAAGTTTTGGAGAGTCACAATTATTAAAGCTGTGGTTTTCATGAATGCATCTTGGTATTTGACAAATTATTTCAAATTGCATGCAATACAACTTAGAATGTGATGTGGCTTTAGAGAAAATTAGTGTGAGTAATATTTTAATCTACTTTTGTGCCATTTTTCTGTTGGCAAATATAAGAAAGTGTAGGTGGTGTAGCATTATGGGGTGAAGTAAAACACATTACAGAAGCAGGAGGGAACCCTGTGCCAAAGCCATTAGTATAGACATGTCATAGAAGAGGGCTGAAGGTAGCTCAGAAGACATAATGTGTGTATTGTACATAGCTGAGTTATCTGGAAATGGTGAAGGAACATAAGAAAGATAAAGTTTCCAAAGGAGACAATAACAGAACTCTTGGCAGGGCTCTGATTGTACTATGGAGTGTTGTAAGGAAAATGCTAAGCTTTGGCATTAAAAATGACATGGACAAATTTTATGTTTTGGGTTCCTTTCACAATTCCTTTAGGACCATTGTAAAGGTCACCACTCTTTTGAAAAGTTAACTGTTCATTGTATTGCAATGTGTCCTATTACATTAGGTTCACTAAGAGTCTGGAGTAGCTGGTCCAGCAAGGGTCCTTTCACTTTACTGGTAAAGGCCATCATTCACTACACACATTAGCGTGCAAGGTTAGCTCTTAGGAAACACAATTTATACTCTTCGTTAATAATAATCCTTTCATTTGATATAGCGCCTTATGTCTTTGAGACATCTCAAAGTGCTTCACGGAATACATTGTAAAGTGGAGTGAAACATGGCAGCCAATTGTGCACAGCAGTATCCCACTATCAGTCGTGGATTGAGTGACCAAATTATTATTATTTTTTTTTAAAGGGATTATTACCTTCGGAAACCGCTAATTGACTAACAATTGGGTTCTACTTACTGCTAAGTGAACAGAGGCGTGTGGAGTAAGGAAACTTTCCCAACATTTCGTCCTGCTGGGAATCAAACCCTGGTCATCACGCTTGTGAGGTGATTGTTCTAACCACTGAGATACAGAACTCCTATTTAATAGTTAATAATATACTCTTAGTTAATAGATCATGATTTCTCCATTCTATCAACCAATTCAATCTGCCTATAGGAGCTCTATATGCTCTTGTGCTACCCCACAATGTGCTTTCATCCTAGTTATAAAAAGAAGATCCAAAGTGAGAAAACTGAAAGAAAGGCGTTTAAGAAACAACAACAAAATCAAATTTATATAGTAACGTTCACATGCAAAACACAGCTTTGTAAGGATATGAGAGAGAGATGGATTTTCAGATAGAGAAAAGTAATACAAGATCACAAGATCGGTCAGGGTGAAGAAAGACCTTCGGCACTTAAGATCTCATCCCTCCAGAACACCCACCCTAATGTCCCCCATCACTGCATCAAGCTGCTTTTTAAATGTCCTGGCCTCGAACACCTTTTCTGGCAAAGGTTCTGTGTTCCAATCGTTGATTACCCTCTGCTTAAAGAAAGACTTCCTGTCCTGAAGTTGCCCTTTTCTTCTCCAAATCTATGTCATGATACATCCTATTGATCTGGCTTTGCCTTTTCAATCCCATTTAAAATTTTGTATACCTCTATGAGGTCTCCTCTGAATTGTCTTCTCTCAAGACTGAAGAGCCTTAGCTTGTCTATTCATTCCTCTAACACTGGGTATTATCCTTGTTGCTCTCCTCGGCACCGCCTTTAGGGCCCAGACACACCCTTATGTCACAGTGACCAGATGCAATATCCAAGGTGTGGGTTGACCAGAGCACGGTACAGTCGGAGAATAGCATCTGGGAATCTAAACTCAACTAATTTCGCACTAATATATCGTGCAGTGGTAGCATTCTAACTTCTCAGTCAGTGGGTTATGGGTTCAAGCCCCACGTAGGGACTTGGATTCACATAGTCAAAGCCGATACTCCGATGCAGT